ATCCTACTTGGTCATGGTGTATGATCTTTTTGATGAGTAGTTGGATTCTATTTCCTAGTATTTGGTTGAGGATCTTTTCATCTGTGTTCATCAGGGATATCGGCCTGTTAATTTCTTTCTTTGTGGTATCTCTGTCTGCTTTTGGTATCAGTGTGATATTTGCTTCGTAGAAACTGTTCGGAAGTGTATTTGATATTTCAATTTCGTGGAAAAGTTTAAAAAGGATTGGGAGTAAGTCCTCTTTAAATATTTGGAAGAATTCACTAGTGAATCCATCTGGGCCAGGGCTTTTGTGCTTGGGGAGACTTTTTATTACCATTTCAATTTCCTTGATGGTGATAGGTCTGTTCAGGTATTCCAGGTCTTCTTGGTTCAGCCTTGGGAGTCTGTAGGAGTCTAGGAATTTATCCATTTCCTCGAGATTTTGATGTTCCGTGGCATAAAGCTTCTCAAAGTACTCCCTGAGCATCCTTTGAATTTCTGTAGTTTCTGTTGTAATGACCCCCTTTTCATTTCTGATTCGGTTTATTAGGGTTTTCTCTCTCCCTTTCTTTGTGAGTTTTGCTAGAGGCTTATCAATCTTGTTAATTTTCTCGAAGAACCAGCCCTTGGTTTCATTGATCTTTCGGATTGTTATTTGGGTTTCCATCTCGTTAATCTCTGCTCTGAGCTTTATTATTTCCTTTCTCCTGTTCGGGTTGTGCTCCTTTTTTTGGTCCTTCTCCAAGCTCTTAAGCTGTGAGGTTAAGTTACTTATGTGTGCTCACTCCTCCTTCCTGAGGAATGCTTGTAGAGCTATAAACTTTCCTCTTAACACAGCTTTTGCTGTGTCCCATAAGTTTTGGTAACTCGTGTTCTCATTTTCATTCGTTTCTAGGAATTTTTTGATTTCCTCTTTGATTTCCTGTCTAAGCCACTCGTTGTTCAATAGAGCACTGTTTAATTTCCAGGTGTTTGACTTAGTTTTCTGTTTCTGTGTGTGATTTACTTCTAATTTCAGTGCATTATGGTCTGAGAAGATTGTTGATACAATCTCTACCTTCTTAATTTTATGGAGGCATGTTTTGTGGCTCAGCATGTGTTCTATCTTGGAGAATGTTCCATGTACGCTTGAGAAGAATGTGTATTCAGCTTTTTGAGGATGAAGTGTCCTGTATATATCTACTAAGTCCCTTTCTTCCATTGTTTCCCTCAGATGAAGTATGTCCTTGCTAAGCTTGAGTCTGATTGATCTATCAAGAGGTGACAAAGCGGTGTTGAAGTCTCCCACTAGTATTGTGTTGCTATTGATGTCTTTTTCCAAATCTATGAGTAGTTGTTTTAAGTACTTTGCTGGTCTCTCATTAGGTGCATATACATTTATTATTGTAAGTTCTTCCTGTTGTACAGATCCTTTGATCAATAAGAAATGGTCTTCACTGTCTCTTATGACATTCTTCACTCTGATATCGATGTGGTCTGATATTAGGATGGCTATCCCTGCTTTTTTCTGGGAGCTGTTTGCCTGTAGGATTGTTTTTCAGCCTTTGACTCTGAGTCTGTGTTTGCTTTGACTATTGAGATGTGTTTCTTGCAGGCAGCAGAATGTTGGGTTCAATTTTCTAATCCAGCCTGCCACTCTATGTCTTTTAATTGGTTCGTTTAGCCCATTGACATTGAGAGAGATTATTGTTATGGGATTTTGCCCCATTGTTCTGTTGAAATTTGGTGTATTTGAGGGGCCTGTCCTGTCTTAAAGTAGCCCATTTAGTTGTTCTTGTAACCATGGTTTTGAGTCTATGAAGTTCCTGAGCTGTTGTTTGTCTGTGAAACTGTGTGTTGCTCCTTCTATTATGAATGAGAGTCTCGCTGGGTAAAGTATTTTTGGAGAGGCATTTATTTCACTGAGTTTTTTTCACTATGTCCCACCACTGTTTGCGGGCCATGAGGGTTTCATCAGAAAAATCAGCTGTGAATTTTAAGGATGCTCCTTTGTAAGAGATTTCTTTCTTCGATCTTGTTGCTTTCAGAATTTTGTCTCTGTCTAAGGTTTTGGTCATTTTGATCAGAATGTGTCTTGGGGTATTTTTATTCGGATTTCTTCTATCTGGTACACTTCGGGCCTCCTGAATGTGGTCACAAGTTTTCTTCAGCTTTGGAAACGTTGTAGCAATGATGTCTTTGACAGTTTCTTCTTCATCAAGGTTTTCTTCCTGTCCCTCTGGGACTCCAATAATTCTTATGTTACCCCTCTTGGCTTCATCATGATCTTCTCTTGCCATCTGTTTCCGAATTGTGAGTCTCTTTTCCATTTTCTGATGTTTTCTGGAGAGTCTCTGAACTTGATCTTCGAGCTCACTGATTCTGTTCTCAGCAGCTCTTACTCTGCTGCTGAGGCCTTCCACTGAGTTTTTCAATTCGCCTACCAGGTTTTTTGGTCTGACATTTCCGATTGCATTTTCCTCATTTCTGCCTTCAAATCTTCTTGTCTTTTATTGGCATTGCTTTCCATTGTTTCTTTTAGTTCCCGAAGCATCCTAAGTAGCTCCCTTCTGAATTCCTTGTCAGAGAGGTTGTCTAACACTACAGTACTGTTGATGTCTTCTGGGTTAGCCTCTTCAATAATAAAGTTTGTTGGGCTTTTACGTTGCTTTACCATTGTGACAAGTGTGGTTTAGTCCTTCACGTTTACTGTTACTATTCTGCTTGATATGTAATGTTAGTTGAGATAGACTTATGAGTTATTGGCTACTGTGTTTCTAGTGGCTGAGCTAAAATAGAGAAGATTACATCTAAGATGGTAGCTTATGGTTCCTAGGGAATATGTAGTGAGAGAATATTTCGCGGCCGCATTAGCGGCCGCGGCTCCGGAAAGTGTCCCTGCGCTGGTACCTGATAGGAAGGAGGAGAGGGGTCCCCTTCAGCTTTGTTGCCGAGCCGTGGGGCTCCGTTCCCGTCCCGCACAGATCAGGGTAAAAAACCTGGCTGTGCTATATGATCGAGTTAGCTGTGCATGCGCAAGAGTCCCAGGCCTTAAGTAAGATTTTTTTTATTTAAAAAACTATTAACACCAATATTTTAAAAGTCTCATAAAGAAAAGTATTTTAAAGCTCATAATAAAAAGTAAATATACATGATCCTTTCATGGATAAATAATTAATAGGGACCATTTCTGTAAATTATAAATTTAAGTATTTGAAAGAAAGCAGTGGCTTCCTCCCTCCTCCATATGTTTCTGTTTTTACATTTGAAAAATAGTGTCATTTAACATTTCTATGATTTTATCTGGAAAGTTTTCAGAAAACTGCCATGTAGTGAGAGGAAAAATAATGACCTAGAAAACTATCCGACTCATAATCCTCATAACCTATAAATATTTTAGGTGATTTAGCAAAAAAGAATTGGGCTTGCATATAAAATTGTTGTTAATAAGCTAGCATCAAAATAGAATGACTATCCGAAGGAATTCAATGTAATTATGAGAGTCCTTAAAAGAATAAGAAAACTAAAGAAATAATTAGAAGATGTGACTATGGAATAAAGTCATCTATAAATAATACACTGCTGATTTTATTTAGACTTTAAATTAAGGCCTTTTGGTAACTTGTAGTAGTTAAAAAATACAAAGAATTGGGGTGAAGAACTGCTGAAAATAAAAAATAATTGCCACCACACCAATGAATTGATTTTAACATAGTAAGAGGAATCATGATCATAAAGAAATGTAGCAAAATTAACTTGTGTCATTTATGCTAACTTTTCAACTTTGAGATAATTTGTTAAAATGGCAACACAAATTTATACACATGACAATTTTCCTTTTTTTTTTCCAAGAACAGTGGGGGTAATAAACCAGTGAGTTTTACATGAGTAAAGGGAGAGTAGAGTAAAGATAAAACTTTAAAAAACATTATCAGTGGGTATTAATTAGTAATTTTATTTCATATTTACATCACATTTCTTCTCACTACAGAAAGCTTCCTTTTATATCCATAAATACATACTTTGATCATTAATAAATCAAAGTATATTTTAAATATATTGTAGAGAGGAAAATTCCTCTTACCTTGTTGAAAATAAAAGGACTATCACAATATTAAAAAGCTGTGTAAAACATCTAAACATGTTTGAGCTTTATTTCTTACTTGATCACTTGATCAGTTGACTTTCCATTACTCATCGATTTGCTGAAGTGGGCGCCAGTAATGTCTCCATTCGTCCCTGTTGCATGCTAGTGTAGCCCAATGACGACTGTTGGTTCTAGGAACATGAAAAACCTCAACTTCTCAAAACAAAATATAATTCATTATATACTATAATCTTTGTAGTTGCTTTATAATTTGTTCTAATGATTCTTATTAAAAGAAAATAATAACCATATGGACATTTTGAATACAATTTTAAAGAAAAGAAGACATTTGATATAATTATTAATCAAATGCTTATTTTTTGTCATTGATACAAACTCAAATTGAGAGGTTCATGGCTATTTGGAAAGTCCTTGTTCACCAATTTATACCACAGGAAGAACTAAAGAAAAAAATCTATATAGGTTGCTTAAAAAACTGAACGTGATAAGCTTTTGGCAGTACAGGTTTGACTTTCATTCTCTCTATCTTATTTTCATTATTTTTCTATCATTTTGAGTGGAGTATCTTAAGGCCATGATAGAATGCTTGAACTAATCGCTAACATCAAAGATAAATGTTATTGCAATAATGAAGTTCTATAAAATATATAGAGTGTAGAATAAATTTATAAAGTCTGCTGTAGTTCATAAAGTATATGAATGATAATTCAGAAATTTCAATATAAACTCAAAGCAGTGATTGCTCTAGCAGTTTTTGGATATTGGTAGTTTTGTAGTGTGATAGAATTTGGAAAGAGGAAGTAAGGAGAGATAAGGTAAAAATCTCATTTTTCCAAAGTATTGCAAAGTAATTCTATAATTTTAGGCATTGCTTAAAGAGGCCCCCAAAGTCTAGCTTGGAAGAAAAATAAACCTCTCTTTATTACTGCAGAGAATTTTGGATTAGATCCTGAGGTCGCTAAAGCAAATACCGTGGGTTTTGTTGGATGCCTGTCTTCAGTTCAGTACAACCATATAGCACCATTGAAGGCAGCCCTGCGTCACACCACCATTGCACCTGTGACTATACAAGGGACCTTGACTGAATCTAGCTGCAACTCCATGATGGTCTCAGATGTGAATGCAGTGACCACTGTGCATTCTTCATCAGGTACAGTCCATCAAACACTATTGGATATATTTTTTTCCTTTGGCACTCCTTTTGATGTCTTCAAGAAGCTTCCAATTTCAAGACTAGTATTACTTAATTTTTAAGTTATGTAATTATCAGTAGTTGTAAATTAGGAATGTTGTCTTGTGATTTACTTTGCAATAATATAATACAATCCTAATTGTCATATGCAAAGTGAGCTCTAAATGCATATTTCATGTATTGAATATTAAATGTAATAAACATATACACATATAATTTTGAGTGTGCTACATATATATTAAAAATCATCCATTGCTCAAAATATTGGATACTGGAGCAATAGCACAGTGGGTAGGATGCTTACCTTGCACACAGCCGACCTGGGTCGATTCCTCTGCCCCTCTCGGAGACCTTGGCGAGCTACTGAGAGTATCTTGCCCGCCTGGCAGGGCCTGGCAAGCTCCCCGTGATGTATTCAATATGTCAAAAACAGTAACAACAAGTCTTAAAATGGAGACATTACTGGTACCCACTCGAGCAGATCGATAACTAATGGGAGGACAGTGACAGTTATATGCAAAGCAACTTGGTTATTGAACCATATTTTATAAGATTAAAATCAGCCATCACAATAGTATTTCTGTCCCATGTGCCATTTTCTAGATTTCTTTTCTTGTTTATCACTCTTTAAAATACTCCTTAAATATATTTTTAATTTTTCACACTTCCAAGTGCCTTTTGATATAATTGAGGTTTGTTTTAGTTAGTCATGATAAACAGTCATTTATTATTCATAAGTTCCTGTGAGCCATTCCCTGGGTAGTATTTTGCTGCTGCCTGCTAATCACTGATATTGGTATTTCCTTCGCTCCAGTGAGGTCCACTAGAAAACTCCTTAATGAAATAGCTTGCTAATCTCAATTTGAGTTCTAGATATTCCAAAATTGATCTTTAGACTTTGCACAAGTTATTTAGAGTTCTGATCTAATTCATTCATTTATGTAACAAGTGCTATCATTATAATGTTGTAATCATTTTTTAAGGATTGGATGATATGAGAAGATGGCTTCCATATATCCTATACATATTATGCACTCTATAAAGATCCATTTTCATATAATTTCTCCTTTAAAATTATTTGCAAATGTTTCTAATTTGTTGTCAGGAGACTATAAATAATAGAATCTGCCACCAGCCTAAAAAGCACAGATATGAATGCAAATATATGTCCCTTCTAGTTTGATGCTTTTTGCCTTATATCTTACAAGTCAATGTACTTAGCATAATATCCTTCCATTCTCAATGAGATTCTCTCTTGAATTTATTGATTTTCTGTTCTTTCCTGTCAATGGAGTTAGAGATCAAAAAAGGAGTCCTTTGTAACAAAAACATAGGAATTGGTTTTGTTACCTTAATTTCCCATAATTGTTTTTGTTCCCATAATTCTCAAGCATCAGTGGATTCTTGGAGAAAAAAAAAAAAAGAAAACATTGTCATAGAGACTACCCAGAAAATCGTAGAGGAACTAAAGGGTAGGCTGATATTCAAGCTGTAAACCAAAGCAGATACAAGCAGGGTAACTCCATCACCAGTGTTAATCCCCTATACAACTTATATAGAATTGAACTCAGTCATAGAACTATGCAATATGACAGTAACTATGAGTAATCAACCTCCCCCACTTTATTATGTGTTTGATTATGTACCTTCCCAAATGCCCAGTCACATCTACTTAAGAAAACCTAGTCTAATTGATAGATATGCTGTCTTAACTCCTATTGTATATCTTCTGCTAGCATATTGTGTGATGCATGATCTTTCATATGTTTAACTCCTCTCAGATTCATTTGGGAAGACAGATGAGAGAGAGCCTCTCACCAATGCAGTTCGGAGTGATTCGGCAGTCATTGGAGGTAAGCCTTCCTTTGTTGCTGCTGAAGGCAGAGAAAAACAATTATTTACTTAACTCTTTACTATTGAAATGATTTGAGACATTTCTTTGAATCTAACCTTAAAATTATGACTATTCAACATTCAACATCCCCATCCTTTAGTCGCAAGCCCGAAAGCCTCTAAAACCACCCTGAGTGTTCAATGAGAAAAAGGCACTCTTTCACCCAGCACCAGCAGTTCCATGGATGTTTTCCACCCCTGTCCCATTTGGCAGCTGCAATACTGTATCAACATCTGGAGTGTTTACTTTGATACTGGCAGTATGCATCCTGTTCATCTCATCTAAGCTGTCAGTTTTTCTAAAGTACAAACAAAGCAGAGCAATAAAGCTACATATGCAGAAGAAGCCATGTTGGGGCAGACAGATGGGCAAAACTTTCAGTCCTGTTGGGTTTTCTCCACCAAATGATTTGGGTTAGATCTAACGAGCAGGGTGAAGCCCACAGGACTGTAGTTTCAAATCCTGTAGCACATATGGTTACAGACTCAGATCTTGTCTGCTCTGCTGTCAGCCTAGTGCTCCCCCCTTCTCCTCCCTTGCTTTTCCATTTTCTCACTGCCTGTCTGTCTCACCCTTTTTATTCGGCTTCAGCTTGACTGCAGCCTCCAGTAGCTTGATGTTTCCATCTGGAGCACAGAATGACTCCCAAACCTTGTTTAATGTAAGATGTCTGTGAGAAACTAAATTCATTTCTATCTGAGAACCGTAGCCCTAGCAGGTGCTCCATTGCTGCCTTCTGGCAGGCTAGATGAAGTGATGCACACCAGATGGAGTTTTCCCTTTAAAAGTCGGCAATATCCGTTCATTTAACTTCTATTTAAGAAGCCCCAGCTCGAGGTCAGGTCCTGTGCTAAATTTAGAAGTACAATGATGAAAACATAGACAAGGTTTTCAATGAACTCAGTGAGTAAACAGTAACAATAAATAAATAGTGTTGAGGAAAGCAATATGGGAGATGAATGTCAATGGGAGAAGCAGAGATATGTCTAGACACTCAAATTTTAAAGAAAGAAAACCGCATTCCTTAAGAAAAGTCATTCCTTAAGAATGGATATGTATTTCAAAAGTCTGCTCTGAACTTCGGCTTCAAGGAAAAAAGAAGTTCTTTTTTTCTTCCCCTTTTAAAAATCAAATACATTTTGGAATGAATGTAGTACCCAGTTCTTTTTCTATAACTTCCCATGTGGAAAGTGGAGGCAATGTTTTTGTGACTTCTGACTTTCCACAATGCTCTGTGAGTGTCTTTAAGAGCAGGAAAGTTATCTTGCTTTGAAGAAGTTCTGCAGACACTCATCTCATTGCCTTCAACTTCAACTACTGCTGTTAGGAAAAAATAGAAATTGTTTCTGCATTTTACCTTTTAAAGTTGCAGATAATTTATGGGAATCACTCGCTATCATCCAGTTTATTTATGGGCTTGCTAACTTGAATGGTTGAATTCTGACTTGCCCAAAGCGTTGGGTTGACCAAGAGAATAGCTCAAAATACGGGTGAACACGTCTTGCTATTTTGAAATTCTGAGTTCTCTCCCAACACTAAGTTGCAATTAACCTGAATACTATTAGATGTAGTTTGATGGCCCAAAACTGGTTATTGCATGTCTGAGCCCAACATCTAACCATCAGGACTAGCACTGTCAGTTCAAGTATTGTTGGGAATCGCCCTTTGTCCTGAATATCACTAGGGATATCTCCTCAAAAATAATTTTAAAAAAAGTGGGGAAATGGCAAATAATTGTGTAGGGATATTCAATTAAAGTATAGTCTTAATTATTGTCTCAGCACTGAATCAAACTGGTGGAAGACATGTGTTCAATGTATATATATGTTAATAAAAATACTAATTCAGGGTATCCAATATTTATTTTTCTCAATATACATTTCACTTAGAAAAAACAGTTTTTCTGTATTACAAACAAATTAATTTTTTTTAGTCACCATGAAATAAATTTTATTGTCTACACAGTATTAAGATATCTCGATGCTAAGAAAAACTTTCATATAGAAACATATTCTCCCTTTTAAGTCTCTACAGAGAAATTTATTATCTCTCTGATGACTTTGCTTGTTACACCCCCAAAGCATTCCTGCAAAGGAAGGATAAGACCCTTGGGTTAGGAGAATAAATTTTCAAGTAGCGCTTATAAAACCACATAGAATCAAAATAAAGGAAGATATGACACACTGTGAAGAAATTCACTATTTTAATTAACTAAGTTCCATAAGAGAAATGTCAAATGCATAGATCTCCTTGTGTCTAGCAGAGGAAAGAGCAATAGAGAAATGCCTTAAATATTTGGTAGCCATTTGAAACATTTTGCAAGGCTTACACACCATAAAAACTGCTATCAAAAGAGCATACATAAACCTTGAGATTTTTGTATTGTTTTGTTTAGTCACTTCTGACAGTGCTCAGTGCTTACTCCTCACACTGCACTCAGAGATCACTCTTGACAGGCCTTAGAGGACCAGATGGGATATCAGTGATTAAACCTAGGATAATTGTGTGCAAAAGCATGTGCACAACCAAATGTAATATTTCTCTGCAACCTGTGAGTTGAGATATTTAAAAATGACATTCTAGGTTGCCAATGTAATTCTAAAATACTTTGAAGTAAAAGAGCACATTAATGTTACTATGATTTTTCATACACATTCTTAAAGTGATGCTCAAGAAAATAATTTTTCTAAAATTTTATTATCATGAAGTTACCATGATTTATAATAGTATTACCATTTGGGGGTTTGCTTTATGAAATTACTCCATCTTCACAACCTACAACAATGTGTGAAAAACTGTGAAGAAACTTATTTAGAAATATTTGTGTAGTATGATTCCAGATAAATAAAATAATATTCTTATTCATCTAGCAACACATTCTCTGATTTAAATGTGCTTTCCCTTTTTTCCCCAGACTTTTTAACAGTTCTATAAAACGACTTTTTAGCAATTAGACAGAAATCATTTTTGTCCATCTTTATTTCTGATTTGTGTGTAGTATAAAGCTTGCTGTTTTGTCATTGTTGTTTGTTTTCTTTGCTTTTCCCCCACTAAGTTCCTTCTTTGTCTACAATGGAATCATTTCAATTGTGCAAATGAACGATATGTGATAATTTTCTCTTCTCCATTTTCTCTTCTCAACAGGAGTGATAGCAGTGGTGATATTTATCATCTTCTCCATCATTGGCATCATGACCCGATTCCTATATCAGCATAAGCAGTCACATCGTACTAACCAAATGAAGGAGAAAGAATATCCAGAAAATTTGGACAACTCCTTTAGAAATGACATTGATTTGCAAAACACAGTGAGCGAGTGTAAGCGGGAATATTTCATTTGAACAACTGCTAAATCACCTACTATATTTTATTGTTAACCTTTACTCCTTCTTGTTCTCCTGTCTTTTAATTTTGCTGATTTTCTTGATATAATTTGTGTGCCATTTGTTTTTGGAACATTCTTGCATCCACTGCAGAATTTTTTCACTTGATCCAGTCCAGAAGACCAGGCAGCTATAAACACTGCCTTCCTCTTTGACAAACTACTCAAGAGATTGACTTTACTACTCTAGATAAGAAGAAGCACTTGTATGTACATGTGCATATTCAATTCTGTATTTCCGATTTCTAAGATATACTCTTTTATTTCATAGCCATCCAGTCTTGAAGGCTTACTTTCAATCTGGTGTATATTTAGACAATTAGTAGTCATCCTTGACATCTTCCCCCATCTCAAGTCCCTTCCTCTTAGGGAACTCAGGGTAGAGAGAGAAGATGTTAAACACCTGCTTTAATGACATTTTAAAGGGAAAAGGAGAGGAAATGTTTTATATTAATTTTCTTAGACATAGGAAACCCATTCACCTAAACATCACTGCTTTTCACTAATATTCTTATCCCTTGAGTATTTTCAGATATAGGACTCCTTAGTGTAGTTAGATTATTACTTTGTCCCTTTCTTACCATTCTCTCCTGGGGCTGACACTTTTAGAACAGCACACAATAGTGTAAACCTAGAGGAAGCATGGAAAATAGTAGCTTGAAACTAGGAGGTAAAAAGAAAGCTGCTAGGAAGTAGATGCTCTACAACTTGAAAAATGTCTCTTCCAATTTTGTAAGAAAAGTTAGCTAGGCTATTCCTGGGATTATTATATTGAGGTAAATAGATTAAAAAATATATGTAAGTTGCTGCAGCATAAAAAAAATTCTTAAATAAAAGTCTGAGATAGTATCTGATTCCATGAAAGGACCTAAAACATGTTTATTCAACTTAAAACAAACAAAAAGAAAATAATAAAAACTGCATGAAAGAAGAGAAATACCAACCAGAATTCTTCCAAACCATTCATTTCTAAAGAGCTGGTGAAAAAAGGGAATTTTTATTTCACATTTCATAACAGACATATCGATCCATCTCTGTCCATTCAACTTTCTTAGAGGTGTAGGAAGTACTGTCACATGAGTCATTCTGCTTATTTCTAGGAACTTCCACATTTACTTTCAAAGGGGCCTTTCAATTCTATAGAACACCACAATTTGAAATTTACTACTTCCTTTCTTTGTAAGGCACACATGTATCTTGTTGTAGGCATAAACCCCCAGGTGAGGTGGCAACAGATTTCAGGGTCTTTGGCATTGTTGATGACAAAACATGGAAGAAACACAATCACTGCATTTTCATTTCCTGTTTAAAAAGTATCTTCCAAATTATAATGGAAAGAATTTGGGCTATTTTACTTAAGTAATATGTCTGACTCTTTTACTCTGGAACATCTTGGAGGGAAAACAAAAGAAACAACAAAGACACTTTAGTATGTTGGAAAGGTTTCTATTATGATCCTCAGATAAGGAAGGTACACTCCAATTCACTTTGCAAGACAAATTTTATTTGGAAAACCATTACCATATCACGGTTTGCTAGTCTTAATAGTTACTAAACACTCCATCTTTTTCTTAATGTATCCATTGCCTCTGGTCATTTAACACTCTCCTGCATGATAAGGATCACAATGAGACTCATTAACTTAATTCTATTGCAGTCCATTTCAGTTTTTTTTCTTTCAATATCAGAGAATATAGCCTAAAGATTTAGTTTATAATCATAGTTCTCGACTTTGATATGTTGCTAAAATTGCTAATTATTCTCCAATTTTTCTGTGATGCTCACTCATTACTTCTATTATCTCTCTTAATTAATAAATTTTATGTTATTCTAGAAAGAGCATATTTTTATTTCAGTTTTAATAAATGAACCAATGTTAATAAGAGTAAATATCATTAAATATTGTTTATCCTGACCTCTCCAACCCCTACTCCAAATTCTCACTTCTGAATTTTCTATTTCCATGAAAAGGCTTTATCCATCACCCTTTCTCTTGGCTGCAGGGTCCTTTACTCCTTGAAATAAAAGTCACTCTGAAGAACTGTAGAGGTAGCCTGAAGTTTCTCTAAAAAAAAAAAAGAAAAAGAAATGAAGTAGGAATTCCTCATTATTCAACTACCTGGGAAGTGAAGATTATAATTTAGTCACCATGTTGATAGAAGACATTAGAGGATGAGCAAAAATCAACACACAATATTTACTTTTCTCATCTGTCTATGCGTTTACAAGTAACTCTGCAATGTGAAGAGTTCGCCATATCTTTGCTCCAGAATTCACTCACAGATATCTCCACATAAGTAAACTTTTACATATGATATGAACATGATGTCTATCATAAAAACAACAAAAACAACAACAAAATTTCAAGACAGTGCAATCTGCATGTCATTCTTATAAGTAGTCTCAGGGCTAAATCGGAATTATTTCTACAGGGTTGGATTATTTTATATCTTTCAGAGAACACTCAGCATTCACTAAATGTATTTGAAAAAGCAAATAATCTACTCCCTCCAAAACAAAACACAATATTCAGTTAGAAATAAGTGCTATGTCTTTCCACAGGAATACCAAAAATCCATGTCATTTTATACAGTTTCTCTATTGTTTGAGTGACTTAATCCTTATGACTAAGGATTTATAATTATAAATTATGATTATAAACAATTATGATCACTAAAATAGTTTTTAAAAAGGAAATCTTATGCCACCTTAGCACTGTTCTTCTGCTTCATTTCCTAACTGCACATACTGGCCAACTCCACAAGCCTCCACCAGGAACTGTCAATTTTCAGTAACTGCAGTTTACAAAAGAATTTTACAGAATATGGTCATTTTACTGAAAAAAATCAGTTTACAATTTTGCATTCTCTAGGATCTGTTTGATTGGTATCACTTCCACCAAACAAATCTATTTTTATGAGCAATAGTGAAGTTGCTTACCCTAAAGTATATTTAACACTCATGCAGCTTTCATTGTATGTGTAGGTTAGGTTTATCTAGTTTCTAGGAGAAATTTTTTAGGTAATTAGACATTTGTCACTTATGTAGATATATTTTTATGAATAAATTAATATCTTTCCCACTTTTATCTGCATATGGGGGGTTGAAGGAGATTGACTAGTTTTTATTGTTCTCTGTAGTAACAACAGAGGTGGCACTAATCTAAATTCTATACTTTGTCAGTTCTCTGACCCCCATAGTGTATCAAGAAAAGGATTAAAACAGAGTAAACAGATTGCTCATTATTTATTCATAAAGTATTTATTGAATATGCAGTACTCTATGGGTTATGCTAGACTTTAGAAATTCAAATATAAATCAAACCTTATTATTGCCTGGTGGAGTCTAGCAGAAGAGACATATATAGTCATAACAAAGATAGCCATATTGTGCTATAGAATTAGAGCAAAGGGGTTGTGTATATTTTAAAAACAAAGCCTTTACTAGATACTTAAACAGATGAACTTATTACTTCCACATTCAACATGATGCTTTGTTTATCCTCAAATTAATTATGTATCTTCACATTTATATTTCTGTAAAGGAAGGCATATTTCTTTAGAGACAGCAAGAATAAATTATCCTTATCTCTAAAGTACAATTTGAGCCTCTGAATTCTCTTCATTCTTATTTCAGTTCTGGGTGCATGATTATAAAACTTCTCCATCTTATCACTCAGACCTCATTTGGGGACATAACCTAGAAAAGAAAAAAAATATCATCTTCACTCTCATCCTTCACTGACTCTTTTCTGAGTTCATTTTGCCATATAGTTATACTCTGTAGTATGTCATTATTTGAGATTTTCCTGACAGACATCTTTGAGGTACTCCAACTTCTTATAATATTGTCCTTTGCCATGGAAAATTTTTTTCTATTTTGAGAGATTTCTAAAACTTAGATAAAATATAATGTTGACTAATGATTGACTAAAAGGTGCTATCCATCTAAATGAACATTTGCACTGTACCAGGGCTGTAAAAGAAAAAATAAAATCACATTCCCAAATTTATTTCCAATCGGGGCTAGAGCGATAGCACAGCGGGTAAGGCATTTGCCTTACAAGCGGCCAACATGGCCGACCCGAGTTCGATTCCTCCGCCCCTCTCGGAGAGCCCGGCAAGCTACCGAGAGTATTCAATATGCCAGACACAGTAACAACAAAGTCTCCAATGGAGATGTTACTGGACCCGCTCGACCTTCTGCAAAAGTTCATTTAGGTAGAGGAACCCACTGGAATGATATAAACAATGTCTGTTTTCCAATGTATTTTGAGAGATAGGAATCAGTCTTTGAATTATTTCCTATAAAATTCTGATTTTTCCACTAACTTCTCTGGCATCCGTTGAAATACCCTATATTTGCAGTCTTTCAATATCACATCATAATACCAGAATGGCCACAGGAATTTGAAACATGTTCTTCCTTAACCTGAAAACTTGGGTATATTTAGATTGTAATGGTTCAAGAGGTCCCAAACTGGCCAACCAAAGTAAGAGATTCCCTTGTTCATGCAAAAATAAAAGTGGTTAATGGGAAAAAGTCCTGTTAAACTCACAGATTTTTAGATGACAGGGAAGATAACAGTGTTATTTCATGTCTCTCATGCAGTTTGGAATTGTTTTCTTAAAAGATATATCTAGTAATTGAATTTCTTCCATGCACTGTTCTTGAGTCTTTCCCTCCTATTTCTCACTCAGATTCTTACTAGTTAAAGCACTTAGTTTTCAGATTTTTGGTTTGCCAGAGCTTTCATCTCTGTTTTCACTAATTCCAAATTGTTAAACCTCTTAAGGTTGTAATCAGTAAAATCACTTTGTGAAAATAGACCTATTGTTAATGATTTCCCCAGGATATTTTGCATTTAATCTGTGTTTATGGAAGATAGGGTGATGATATATTCCCTTTTGATTGGCAGCTATTTGAAAACTTCATTCAAGCTTTTTGTATATGTTTTTGCTATTTTGAATTTTTTTTTCCCCTTTTGCACTAAGGTACTCTGAGGAAGAATAGAAAAGCACATTTTTCGTGAAATGTTGTACTTTATAAACTAGATGTCTGTCTTTTGTAATGGTTGTAGTCAAATGTGGCTGAGCAGACTTAAAAGAGAGTAAGACAAAGGTAATTCTGGCATTTTGACCACACCTGCTGAGGGCACATTTTGGAGGAAGAGGGAGTGAGTGACAACAGTTGGTTAACTGTTCAAGGTGAGGAAGGTCATTGCTTCCCCAGTGGATCAGTGCCTTCAGCTTTTCCTACATTTCTTGCTTCTAAGGCAGGGTTTTCTTCAGTGTGTTTGAATCATCATCTTACATGTTAGACAGAAGAGGCACATATCACAGGGTTTGCACAAAGAAGTCTTTATTCACCTTTGTGTGATTTTGTGTAAATAGACATATTTCCAGGTCAAATTCAACCACAACATTTTGTTTCGGCATTTTCGTATGTTTATATTTTTTGGTTTTTTCAA